ATCGCATACAATAATTATCTGGACGAAACTGACGCTCAAATTGAAGAATTTTATTTGGCCCGCTTCGTTCGTATTTTATTTTTTTTTTCTATCTAAAAGAATTTGGTAAATTAAATTTTATTAAAAAATTTTTTTTTGATCATCTCAGCCTGAAAAGGACAAAAACGGAAAGGTTTCCAAACAAAAGAAGAAAAAAGTCGCGCCAACCCTTGAAGAAGCTAGGCCTACTCTTGAACAGCGAAAACTATTGCTAGAGTCTTTTAGCGCTCTCTTTCAACCTGAGGAAAAATTCCTTTTTGTTCCTGGGCGAAAAATTTTCAATAAAGAGGAGACTCAAGTTTAAACTTCATATTTACTGGTTACAAGTTTTTTCATGATTATTGCTTAATCACTTGAACATGAATACAATGTCACTACTATACAATAAGCTTTCGAAACCATTAGAAATGGATATGTAAAAAGATATTATTTAAAGAATAACCATCGTTCCAACTAAGATGCAAAATTGCAAATAATATTAAATTATCAAGATCCATAAACACAATTTAACCCGTAACTGATAAATATTAGAATAATAATAATAATAATCCCTTATCACCACCTGCAGATGGGCGAGCAACTGGTTCCGATCGAAGATTGCATTATGGCTCTCAAAAATTAACAAATTCAACATCTAACAGTTTATTATTTTGGTATCACGTGAATGCGAAAAGTACCTCGCTGGGTGGTTAAGGTTTTTTTCAAGCGCGCATATTTTATATTTCGATTCTTACATCTTCGTACATTGCACAACAAGAACTATTTTTATGGATTGAATGATATAGTAACTTCTTTTTTTTGACTTAAATTATTATACAATTTTTTTTATACCATTTTGACTTTGTAAGTTGCGATTCAATAAAATAAAGAAAAAGAAAAAAAAAACACCACTCGCTAACTCTTATGTCTATATTACAGCCTAAAAACCCATTGTCGCTTAAACACCGAACCAATAATCAATCCAATTTATTACAATTTATTATACTGTTTTCCATGGTATATTATTGAAACTATTCTGAAACCAAACCATCTTCGGGGTCAGGTAATCCACCAAACCCAACATTTAATTCTAATTCACGTTCCATAAAACGAAGCATATAATAATCCACGTGATCAGGGGTTTCCTCACTGGTCTCGACTATTTCATTAGCCGCTTGTGGTGACGGAGCTGTGGATACTGAACTTGCACGTCTTGCGACGGAACTTTCTGCTGGTGTATCGATATCCGCAAAATCTGTCAGATCAAGATCCATCTCATTTCTCGCCACCTTGGCCGCATTCACATCGGTATCATCTTCAACCTCCGCAAGGCATTGCTCCAACTCCACTCCCGAACTTGGTTCATCGATTACATCTCGTACACGGTGAGGCGCAATATCGCTGACAAGCTCACGCCAATCCATCTTCTGGAAATAGTCAGTCGTGAATTCTCCATCGGTGATCACCATCTTATCCAACAATCGCTTTTGATTAGCTTTTTGCAGCATATTTTCTTCGATCGTATATTCGCTGACGAATCGATAAATGTTAACCTCACGTGTTTGACCAATTCGATGACACCTGAAATAAAAAAATTTAAATGATTGAATTCCAAAACATCTTGAACAACAATAATAATAAATACCTGTCTTGACATTGACGATCCATACACGGATTCCAATCAGAATCATAAAATATGACAGTATCTGCTCCCGTCAGGTTGATTCCCAATCCGCCGGATCTTGTTGAAAGTATGAATACCAAGATCTTTGGATCATGATTAAAGCGTTCAGTCAATAATTGACGTTGTTCAATTTTTGTGGCACCATCCAATCGAAGATAACGATGGCCGTGAATGTTCAGGAATATTTCTAATATATCAAGTACACGAGTCATTTGAGTGAAAATTAATGCCCGATGTCCATTTTCTTTGAGCTTCCGAAGCAACAAGTCCAGTTCTTGTAATTTCCCGCAATCATATTGTAATAACCTTTTATCGGGAAAGGCTATCTGAAGCTTGACGCGAATGGGATGATACAAATCTTGCGCTTGATCACGAATCATCAACCGCACCTCATCAGGTAATCCAGATAATGCATATGACGAAACATCTCTTGCGACAACGGCCGGGGTTACAAAAGCATATTGCTTTATGATATCCTCCATCATGTTATATCGACGTTCGTAGGATACAAGCATATCAGTGAGCGATTTTGTGTGATCAAAGAATCTTTTAGGATTGTTGGCATCGGTCAACGCAGTGCCACACACGGTTGAGCCCAGCCGACGACACAATTCGAACAAACTTGATCCATACGCCTTGTATATGGGACGACGTTTAAGGCGGAAAGAGTTAATATATCTCATATGACTCCATCTCTGTTGATTGCTTAAACGAGCACGCAGTTCCATGGTTTTACCAAATTCCACAAAACTATTGTATATCGTCTCTTTTTTAGTGTCCGAAATCTCCTCTATTGTATCATACTCTTTAATTTTTTCCAAAAAAAGTTCGTCAATTCTCCCAAATTCCTCACATTCCTCTAAATCTTTCACACCCAAATCCCCTTCATACCGAATTGAATCCAGGTTCAGGAAATCCATGTTTAATCGATTAATTCGATCAATTTTTCTTAAGATGTTTCGTCGGATTATAAATTCGGAAATTTGGTAATCTGCCAAAACTGATCTTGACATGGCAAACGATGTTCGAATAGGTCGTACTTCAAATAAATCTGGGTGATTACAAACTTTACGTAACTGCATGAGGCAATTAATTATGCTCAAGAAATTTCCTGATTGAAGTGTTTCTTTGGTCTTAGCTCTCGACATGAAGTCATCATACAAAAACCGTTGTCTTTTAGAAAGCCGACACTTGATTATGTGATGGTGTTTCGCAGGAAGCTGCTTTTCCACATCACTTTTCAACCGACGTAAGAGATATGGCCGTAAAACCGTGTGGAGCTTTTGAACCGCAGATAGTGTTTCATCATCAAATTGTTCATTATTTTCAATCATCCTATCGACTGGTCGCGAAAACCATTCTTGAAATTCCTTTTGGTTAGCAAACCCAAGGGGCATGTCTCCCGAGACCCCATTGGGCATTAAGAAGTACAACAAAGACCACAATTCCATAAGGTTGTTTTGTAATGGAGTACCCGTGAGTAACAATCTTCGTTCAGAATTAAAGTTCAGTAAAGTCTTCCACCTTTGCGATTGAAAATTTTTAATGTTATGTGCCTCGTCAAGAATCAAATAATGCCATTTCTTTTTTTTGAACACGACCTGATCTAACACAACAAGATGATAAGATGTAATGCAAACATGAAAGGTGTGCTCTTTCATCCAACCTATTCGCTTTTCTCTTCGCTCCTTTGGACTTCCATAATATGTCAAGATTATAAATCCTGGACACCACTTTTTAAATTCCATTTCCCAATTAATAATAACGCTGGTGGGCACAACAATCAGGTGCGGACCCCAGTCTCCCTTTTCGTAAGCTAAATGTGCTAACAGTGCAATTGTCTGAATGGTCTTACCGAGTCCCATCTCATCCGCAAGAATACCATTTAACCCATTGTTATACAAGCTGGCAAGCCAATCAAGGCCGACGTGCTGATACTCACGCAATTGTCCTCTGAGTAATGGTGGAATTTGTGTACGTACATTAGTGGTTGACAATGTGGTTCCGGTGGGTAGTTCTAGTCCTTTTGTCTCTGAATTAGTAATAAATTCACTTTCTCGATCCTGGGAAACAATATCATTATCATCTGGTTCTGCTATCAACAATCGCGTGGTAGAATCTTCATCTAAGTCCATATCACATACAGAGCCTTCATGTTGATCCTGGATTTTAATTGCATCATCCTTATTCGATGATATGTTATTACCAGCATCACATTTTGTTGTGTCAATGGGGTAAATTACGCGATCAGATCCATCCCCTTCATTATCGGATCGATCAACATTACAATTTGTTTTACTGGTCGTCTCTTCCTCGTCGATGTCACTTTCCACTTCTGCATGATCGTTAGGATGATATGCATATCGTTTCAATAGTTCTTCAATCGGAAGGTTTGATTCATTTGTCAATTCGTTTAGCTCCAGAGCATCATCCTCGGAATTTTCTTCAAGTTCTTGTTCATCCAGTGACGATTCATGATCTTGGTCAGTTTGATCGGATGACATTGAAAATTCTTTGTCATCGATGTACGGATCTTGAACAAAAGCTTCCAGTTTAAATTCACGAGATGTTGTTCGAGCACGTAGTTTTCCCATCCTCTTATCATTGGAAACTTTAGATTTTCCATTAGAAGTAGACGAGGACGAGGTGAGGATTTTTAAAGGTTGCTTGCTATTCAAATCTTCTTGCAGAACTAATATACATTCATATCAGCAGGAATTTCGTGAATGAAGTACCTCTTCCACAACATTAACTCGCTTACCTTCGGTATTATCTGATACAGGATAATCATATTTTTCCAACAAATCTTCGAGCGGAAGATCTTTTTCGTCTTGCAAGTCGCGAACTTCTTCTTCATCCGATGATTCAATCTCCTCTTCATCCATGCAAGAAATGGACATTTGGTCATTATCGGAAAATTCGTTATCAACATCTGTTCCGGAATCCTCCGTGCGATAATCTTCCAGATCGTTACATTCCTCAAAAGCATTGTTGTCATCAATATTGACTTTATTGTCAATGAGATTTTTCCGGATTCTCCTTGACCGAGTCCCCAATAGTTCATTTTGTTGAACCTCTAACATTTGGGTAGAATGTTCAATAAGTAGGTTAAGGTGACGTTTTCCTTCACGTTCTTGTTCTTCGCGAAGTAATTCTTTATGTTTCGCCAATACAATCTAAAGAACCGATTGTTGTCAAAAAAAAATTTTGGTTGCTGTTATGAGTTGTTTGGATTTTAGACAATCAATCTAATGCTTTATAAAAGATAAAACGTATTCATTTTTAAAAGAAACTAACCGACTCGACAGTTTTCCATTTTTGCTTAACAAGATTCGCTGTGGTCTTGGCCAATTTTTTGATCCGTTTTTCTTCCAACTTTCTTTCCCTCGACCCCTGATTTGCCAACTTGAAGAAATGTTGCGATATAGCTTTACTAATTTGTCTGGTGATTCGAAACTTCGCTTCTGTCAACTTGTTCATGTATTTCACGTGGTACGTAACCGCTTCGAGCAGGTAATCTCGGTGAACCTTGGGACGAGGTGGTTCAACAGCCGGTTTGGTGACTTTGTTTAACCTTCCTTCATTTTTCAATACCCAAATTCGATATTGAATATCCGCTTCATTTTGGGCTCTCAATTCTTCTTCAGCGGGGGTTATGTCTTCCTCATCTAAAGTCACGAATGACGACAAGTAATCATTCAAACTAGAGAATTGAGCGTGACCGCGTCGACGAAGTGAATAGGATGAAAGTCCGCTTGCCAAGGTCGCTTCTCGATTTCTGGAGGATTCTATCCTTGAGGTCCTACGGGAACTGCGGGTGTTGACACCTGGTTCCCAGGATGTGAGATCAGGCTGACTTTCTACGTTGAATCCACGCGAACCGACAGACTTTTGTAACATGCTGACAATTGATTCGCGATGTTTGGTAAGTGAATGACGGGTGGACATCCGTTTGGAATTTGATTGGATGTTGACAACTTGATCGTTCAAGGTGGCCCACAAGTTATGACTTGCCAAATACTAAGATATTATTATTCCGTAACAGCCCAACGGCACCACAAAAACGAATTTATTTAAATAAAATAGATTGGGCATCAGTACAGTAATGATAAAGCATGTCATATATTAAGATTTTAATGTTTTATACATGCTTAACAAAATCTGAGATGGTTGCCTTTACAGCCCCATATTAATTTGGTTAACCTTTGAATCGAGGCAACGGCACGAGAAAATCGTACCTTAACCATACGCTCGCTATTGTCCTGTTTTATAGTCTGCGGATCGAGGTTATTAAGCAGCAAATGGTAAGATTCCATATAATATAATTCCCGAATCAAGGAGTCATGTTCATCCACAACTTTTATGAGTTCTGCTTCCTTCTCTTTAATTTTCTTCTCGCGTAGTTCTTCCAAGGGAGTTTTTTTCTTCTCGATTGGTTCGGAGAGTTTGTTTTTTCGAAATGATTCTTCATTGTTTGAAGTGGTTTTCGGTTTCTTGCGCGAGATTGGTTCTTTCTCAGCGGACTTTCTATTACCTTTTCTTTCTGTTTCAACGGGAAACGAATCAGTTCCATCATTCTCAGTAACCTTCCTTTTCTTATCACTCTGCCGAGCAGATGTGTCGTTATTTGTGGTATGAGAAGGTTCGTGATTTGATGGCAATGGGTTTTTACGTGGCCTTCCCGGACCTCTTTTTACAGGGGCACCGGAAGTGGAACTACTTACTGTCGTGTCATTATTAGTAGGGATATTTGATGTAGGTATTCCAGGCCCACTATTCGTGGACGTTTCTGAAGTAGTCGTGAAATCGAACGAAGACGACGACGCGACTACAACAGAAGGTTGAGCTAAAGGTACCCTCGTTACTGGGGTAGTGTAAGAAGTTGTAGTTGCGCCTGGACCAACCTTAGCAAATTTGATTCTTAATGAGGACCCGTTGGGTAAAGAAGGTTGTGATGTTTCGGCGTTTGCTCGTACGTGATTAACATTTGCGTTTACAGAAGAGGTCTCAAACCCCTCGGAAACTAGTGATTTTCGCGGTCGACCAGGACCTCTTCGACCAGTTGATAAAGGCGAGAATTGTTCTTGAAGGGTTGTGGTTTCTACCTGAGTAGGTTCTACATTGTTTATAGTAACATAAGCAGAATCTCTGGTCTGTGTCATATTCTTTACTAGTTTTGAAGCATTTCGCAGCGACCTTCGTGTTGAAGTTGCTGCGGAAGCGTTTTCGTTATTGTTCACACGCGGAATCTCCTCTTTTTCACCGACCTTCGCAATACTCGAGTCTTGAGTCACGTTTGGAGGTGAAATTGGTACGGTGAATTTGTTTGTTTCAACTTCGTTCCTAGTTTCGTTCATTTTAATTTTTTCTGTGCAAGTTATCTCTTTATGTGCATTCGATGGTACTGTCCTATAAGCTGCCACCATTGTAGCAAGTCTGGTTCATGCTTGGGGGGTGTCAGAAAAAATATAACTTCCGTTTCAACCGTTAATGTGACGAAGGATTTTTTTTTTTTTTTTTTCCTTTCGTCACTTGTTTTTTTTTTCCTGCAAAATGTCGTATTACCGACTCCTTTTTTGCCTCTAAGGGTGATGATGATATGATAAGACCAAAGGTGATACAGTGATAAGCACAATACAGTTACGTACGACTTACGTTTGTGGGCGCGGATTTGACAAGATATAAAACGAATCAACTTGTAATTATGATTCTCTGGTTTCGCCACGTTTTTTTTTAAAGCCGTTCAATAAACCAAATAAGAGAACTTTAGTGACTTTTCTATTTTGATAAGTATTTTTATTCACTTTTACAAATTGGCATTCAGTGCATTCAATTTACGGTTTTATCACATGACATGTTACATAAGCATTTATTTTTGAATTTTCAACTATAGAAAATTTTTTTAAAATTTTGTATTTAAAGAAACTATATACAGTATCTATTAAAATTTTATTAAAAGTTTTATATATTTGAAATTAAACTTGATTATGTATTAAAAAAAAGAAAATACTGTATATTTAAAAGAAATTTTTATATATTAAATTTCTTAAAAATAATTTACAGATTATAACTTTATTTTTTTTATTTTTTTTGAAGGAGCAGGCAGCTCCTTGCATATGTTTTTATTATAAAATTTTAGACTTGTAACAGGGCAAAATTTTATACTTAGTATGCAATATACATCTCCCTTGTTAGGAAGGGTTTAATACAAGGCTTACTATAAAAACCCATCCACTTGTACTTTTTAGCACCACCTAAAAATACAGGAAAAACAAATTTCAAAACCTATATTAAACTTTGAATAGTGTCTAGCTACCTAGAATAAATGATACCTAGTTATATGAAGGCACTGCAGTCACTATATACAGGTTTGCTTTCAATTATAACTAGGATTGGCATGCTTGCTTTCCAAATATGGCTTGATATCTGACAAGCAGATAAAAGTATTGAATTCAAACTACACTAGAAACAAACCATATCAAAATATTGTCAGTTCTTTACTAATCGCATCTAGTATTGACCCTCCATTCAAACCCATCACTAGAACTTTAGGCTGAAAGATGGCAACTAACTTTATCATTAATGCTATCCTGAAGTAAAGTTAATCTTTCACCAACTGTACCTAATATTGATCTCTCATTTGAACCCATCACTAGAACTTTAGGTTGAGAGGTAACAATTAACTTTGCTGTAAGATAGCTTCAGAGGGTGTATTTTGATTAAAGAATAGTTCGAACCTGGAAGATAAAGAAAGAAGGTTTATACATGAAGTATTGGATTGTTGAAAAAATGTTGAATATAAGGAAGTGGAAGCTTTCTTATAAATATTAATATCTAACTCTGTACACCGGATCTGCATTGTCGGAGAAATAAGTAGAAAACTTTTATTGTCATTATCAGTTTGTATTGTGGGAGTAACTGGAATCCTGGGTCTCATATACTATCCTACTAAGTTTCCCCAACCACCAATATGGTACCTGCAACTAACCTAGCATTATGTTAGTACATTGACATTAGCTACCATATCACTCTGGAAATAGTGGGCGCAACCCCTTAAATACTTTCAGATAATAATAGTTGTATGCTGGTTTCTTAGATATATCCAGTCTAAAAAAGTTATCACTCAGTAAACAATACCAGATTTATTAATGATGACTATGTTGATCTTTTGAAGGGGTAAACCGTCCATCCTTTTTCTAAAAAACCATGAAAGAGAAAAATTTTCTGAAGTTTATGCCTTGAGAGAAGTTATCGCTTTTTGATATGATCCTTGAGAAAAGAAAATCAACTGGCCAGAGGGCTGATATTATAAAGAGCAAATTTTTCAAAAGAAAAAGAGGCCTAGAAAGGAAAACCTTTAGATAAAAAGAAAAAACCTAACTTCAGCAAGAAGAGGAATAAGAGAAAAAAAAGAGAATATAGATTATACATGTTGCTGAAATTTGTAGATTCTTGATACTATTGATACAATTATTTGATGCAATTAATTAAGTCACTATTAAAACATATAAATAATTAAGTCATGACACAATTATTTTTGAGGATTTTGGAAATTGAGTCAATAGCAAATAATTTATATCACATGTATAGTCGTAACTGTAAAAGTGATCTGCAGGCTATAATTCTTATTGCATAACTGAATCTTAATTCTAATCATCAGACTAGCAACATATTACTTCTATAAATTGCATTTAAAGACTTAGGCTTAAAATGGGTGAGCTGGGTCAAAGAAATTTATACTTTGCATATATTCTTGTATGTGTAATGGTTCTTTATAATTTAATAAATATACAATACCAGTCTGATTGTAGGTTAAAATAAAAAATTGAATTTATTATACAAATTCAATCATTATACTATTATCAAGAAAAATTAGAAGAAGCTTGAAAAATACTTAAAATAAAAATTTTAAAACCTATTTTAGATATAGAAACTTGATAAAATTTAACATATAATATAATTATATATACTATTAAATTAAAACAAGTAAATTGGTTTAATTTTTTAAGGTTTATACAAGTTATTTAAAATATTTCTATTTTAAACAATTGAATATATTGTATTTATATATACTAAACTAGAAAATATTTAAGCAAATATAAAAATTTCTTGTATCTTTTCAACAAGTAACAATAATAATATTAGTAAAACCATATTTTACCCTTACAATAATAGTTTTTTTATATAATTTACTATTTAATTATATAAAAGATAATGCAAGCAATTGCTTGTTTCAATCAAATCTTCTTAACTACTTTTATAATATATAATACTGTACTACTTAAAATTCTACAAAATTTTTTACTATTGTTATGATATGATTATTGCCAGATATTATAATATAATTGTTAAGATCAAATTTAGTAATAAAGGAGAATTTGAAGGAAAGATGTAAGGTTTGGCATATAATCCTTTATCAAAAGACTTTGTGTCCAAGGATTAGGGCTTTTTAAG